GGGGACATTGCTGTGACCCCATGGCACCCCCGATGCCCTGCCGAGGCACGAGGACACCCCCCGGAACGGGGACAGCCACCCCCGCCGTGCGACACTCGGGACACTCACCCGGTTGGCGATGGTGATGACGCGGTGCGTGGCCTCGGCTTCCAGCTGCGGAGAGAACCCGTGGTGACACACGGAATGGTGACACATGGGTGGGTGACACGAGGTGGCAGCTGTACAGATGTCCTGCAGCGTGCCAGCCCATCCCGTGCCACCCCTGCGCGGTGACACGGTGACACCCGCTGTCACCTACCTCCTCAGGCCGGCTGATCTCGATGCCCTCTGGCCCCGTGATGCCCAAATCCAGAGCTTCCTTGGCTCCCTGGGGAATTTGGGGGGTCAGGGTGGGGGTTCTTTGCCCACAGCTGGCTGCCCATCGCGCCCCCCTGGCCCYGCCCTCACCTCGGCCACCAGCTCGCCGTTCTCGGCGTGGACGCGGGCGATGGCGCCGATGTCGCGGCAGGCGCGCAGGACCTGGTAGAGCTCGCTGTCCCGCAGCATGTACAGGTCCTTGTAGGTCATGAACATCTGGAAGGAGTTCACCCCCTTCTCCCGCACCAGCGTCTCCATCTCCGCCTTCACCTGTGCCCGGATGGGGACGGGGGGGTCAGTGTGGCACCCCCGAGGGTGACTGCCACCCCCTGGGGACACGGGATGCGAGATTTGTGGGTGATTTGGGGCGTGACAGATGCTGGGAGGAGGCACGAGGGATTTTCTTGCCCCGGGGGGTACCCGCTCCATCCCTCTGCTGGAAGGGGGGGTCAGGGCCGGGGTCTCCCCGCAGCGCAGCCGGGAGCCAGCTCTGATCCCGCTCCAGCAGCTTGGAGGGGATTGCAGGGGTGGGTGTGCTGTGGGATGGGTTCTGCTCACCAATCCTGCCCATCAGTGGGTTGGGGTGCCCCCCAAATTGGGACMATCAGCCCCGGGCACCCTGCTGCCCTCCACCAAGCAGCAGCAGCGCCTTCCCTGCCCCAGTGAGGGGCTCAGCCCGCGGGGAGCCCTTGCCCCGGGGGGACCCCTGAGCTTCTGCCCCGCTGAGCCCGGCTCAGGGCAGCTCAAAAGGCAGCCTGGGGGCTCAGCCCACCCCCCAAGCAGCTAATGRGATCAGCGGGGCTGGGAATTAGCCCCAGCAGCTGCTGCTGGAGCCGTGCCGAGCCGTGCCAGACTCACCTTGGGTGCCCACCAGGTGATGCCCATGTGCAGGGCGTAGTCGCAGCACACTTTGGGGTCTGCCAGGCTGCGGCATTTCTCGTAGGCGTCCAGCAGCGATGTCTCCTTGTCGGGCAGGACGTGGCCGATGATCATGGTGGTGCCCCCCACCAGCGCTGCCTGCAGGGCACAGGGACCGTGCTGGGAGGGTCAGGACTCATTTCCCCRCCGCTGGCACGGATCCTGCCCCGCCGCGGGCCGGGGGAGCTCCCGGGTGCCAGGCGGGGGTGGCCGTGTTTGGGTCTGGCATTGCYCGCAGACCCGTGGGTGCTCCCTCATCCCCCCGTTTGCAGCGGCACATCTGGGTGTGTGACACATCTGGAGAGCTCCATCCTCCCCCGGCGCTGCCCCCCCAGCCCCGACCGCTGGATTTGGGGTGCTGGGGGACCCGGCAGCCCCCCGTTTGCAGCGGCACATCTGGGTGTGTGACACATCTGGAGAGCTCCATCCTCCCCCGGCGCTGCTCCCCCAGCCCCAATCGCTGGATTTGGGGTGCTGGGGGACCCGGCAGCCCCCCGGCACAGAGCCCGGTGAGGGGTGGGGCTGCGGGGAGCTCCCCCCGCCGTGGCAGCGTGGGCGGCAGCGCGGGCGCGGTGGCACTGCCGCTGTCCCCGGCTCACCCGGCCTCGTTAATCCCCAAAGCTCCTTTGCCCATCGGCCCTCGCGGGAAGTGCGGGAGGTGACAGTGACAGGGAGCGGGCCCGGAACGGCCACCACGCCGCCCTGTTCCCTCCGGCACACCGCTGGGCCACCTGCCCGGGGACACTGGGCACCGCGGGGACAGGCACGGCCAGCGCTGGCTCGGCACAATGAGCGCTCTGTGCGGGCGCTGGGGACAGCGGGACGAGCTGCGGGGACAATCCTGYGCCACCCCCTTGACGGGCAGCAACACTCAATGCACAGTGCCACCAGCACAGGGAGGGCAGAGGGTCCCCGAGCTGGCACAGGGTGCCACCGCCCCAGCACGGGATGAGGGCTGTCACAGCAAGGGGACATGATGGATGGGGACACGGGGACAGGCGCTGCCAGGTCACAATGCTCCTGCTGAGATGGTGCTGGGGCAGAGAGCACCCCGAGGAGCCCCCCGAGARCGGGCACACCCCCACACGGGGCTCGGGCTGCGGGGGTACCTTGGTGCCGTGGTAGAAGTCATCGACACASGTGGCGTTCATAAAGGTCTGGTGGAAGTGGGTGCTGGTGTCGATGCCGCCCGGGATGACGAGCTTGCCGGTGGCATCGATGACCTTGGCCCCGCCGGGGATCATCAGCTCCCTGCCCACTTGCTGGATGATGCCGTTCTCGATGTAGACGTCGGCCTCGAGGGTGCAGTCATCGTTCACCACCTTGCCGCCCTTGATGAGGATCCGCATGGTGGCCGTGTTGGCCATCATGGTGCTGCGGGGAAGAGGTGGCCCCGGGGTGACCACCGGGAGCCCCTGGGGCTGGCTGGGGGTCACTCCCCTGCCCACCCTCAGCGGAGGTGCCCCGATGTGGGCAGGGCTCGGCCCCGCAGCTGCGCATCCTCCACGGGCCGTGGCCATGGATTATCCCGGGAAATCCGCGCAGAGGAGGGGCCCTGGCACAGAGCTGGGGGCTGCCTCCCTGCCAAGAGCCCCGCTCTGGTGACTCCACAGCACCCTGGCAGTGCCACCCACCCTGCAGGGGAGCAGGACTGTCACCCTGCAGTGTCACAGCCACATGGGGACACCGCTGGGAATGCCACGAGGTGACAGCACCCACGCCCAGGACAGGCTGTCCATGTCCCTGTGAGTGACCAGGACTGGCACAGACGGCACCAGGACTGGCATCACTCCCTGGGGTCTGTGCCCAAGGCCCCATGCAGCGCCAGCTCCACAGAGACCCCCACCCTGCCCTTGCAGCAGGGGCATCCCCAGACACGATCAATAGGGTGATCGGTGAAGGTCAAACATCATCGACCCGGCAGAGCAGGGACCAAATGTGCTGACAGTGCCCATCCATGGGGCATGAGGTGGGCTGGGACCCCACCAGAACCCCAAAACAGAGGTGAAGGTCAAACATCATCGACCCGGCAGAGCAGGGACCAAATGTGCCGGCTGTGCCCATCCATGGGGCATGAGGAGGGCTGGGACCCCACCAGAACCCCAAAAATGGGACTGCCCTGCAGAGACCCACACAGAGARCCCTCAGCGTCCCCAGGGATGGGGTCACCAGGGACCCTCCAGCAGATAAAGGGCAATGCTCCCTCGTGGGCAGCGCAGCGAGTGGGGCATCGCTGACACGAGGCTGGCGCCGAGCAGCCCTGTGGGAATGGCCCCTAAAACCACTAATTCTGCTGCCCAACCTGCTCTAAAACTAACCCAAACACTAACCCAAACCCTAATCGTAACCTAACCCTAACCCAAACCCAAACCCTAATCGTAACCTAACCCTAACCCAAACCCAAACCCCAAACCAAACCCAAACCCTAACCGCAAGACTAACCCAAACCCTAACCCAAACCAAACCATAACCCAAACCCTAAACCAAACCCTAACCCAGCCCTAACACAAACCCAAACCCAAACCCAAACCCAAACCCAAACCCTAAACCAAACCCAAACCCAGCCCTAACACAAACCCAAACCCAAACCCAAACCCAAACCAAAACCCAAACCCTAACCCAAACCGTAACCCAAAGCCAAACCCAAGCTCTAATCAAAACCCAAACCCTAAGCCAAACCCAAACCCAAACCAAAATCCAAACCCTAACCCAAACCCTAAYCCAGCCCTAACACAAACCCAAAACCAGCCCTAACACAAACCCAAACCCTAACCTAAACCCAAACCCAGCCCTAACACAAACCCAAACCCTAACTCAAACCCCAACGCTAACCCAAACCCTAACCCA